GGTGGTTGAGATGGAGGTGGTGGTGGTTGAGATGATGGTGGAGGTGCTTCAGGTGATGGTGGAGGTGGTTGAGGTGGTGGTGGAGGTGGCTGAGATGGAGGTGGAGGTGGCAGGGGAGAAAGCAGTGCTGGTGGAGCTGATGATGGCAGAGGATGAGGTACTGGTGGTAATGACAATGATACTGATGGCCTGGTAGTTACAAAACAAAGCTGTGGTCTTTTTTATGTTGTCCTCTGGAAGGGAGAACTTGATTTCTAAATCCTTCCTTAAACAGACGGAGACTACCAAGAGTCCGAAACAAACTATTCCCATCTCTTAGACAAGTGGGACCTTTTATTCAGTATTTAGGTAGCTTACGTTTCTCTTACTGTTCCTGAAAAATTGGCACCTGTTTTCCTTGTTCAATTTCCTTAAGGTCAGGAGAATTCCTCTCCATAAATGCAGTGATCACTTCACTCCATTAAATCATGAGAATTGCATTTATTCTGAACCGTAGTAACAGTTTCCCTCAGTTGTCTCTAAACTCTGCCAAATGTTCTTTCTCAGATGCTTCTCTTGGTTTAACCTGAACATTTGTATCAGGCATTTAAATGCCAATGGATCTGCAGTTTTCAAAGTTTTGCATTGTGAGACACCTCTGTTTCCTGCACGGACTCCCCTAGTCCCTGATCCCTGCCTCTGGCCCCAGAAGAACTTGGGTTACTGCTGTCCCGGTCTCAGGTTTGGGGACAAGAGGCTCCTTTTATCCTTCATTTAGTTCCCTGTTCCTAGCCCTAAGTGACTTTAAAGATACATCCTCCAGTTAAAACATTTTACGTAGGAAAAAGATTCTCAATTTTAATTTCCTTTCCCAACATGGGCCTTGACTTTCTGTTTTGGAAGACAAGGTGCACCATGAGAAAATGCTCACTCTCGGTCAGGATCTCAGCTGTAATCCCTCTGACGACTGTTTCAGTCATTTACAGGGAATTATGCTTATGTCATAGGAGGTTGATGTTTTCCACAAGGAAATTAAAAACTGTTACTAAGGCCTAGAACATGCAAAAAGAAAGAAGAAACCTCCTCTGAGGCCAAGTGAAAGGAAAAAAATCTGGAAAGGGTGCTGCCTTATGTGTTCATTCAACAAATGCTTATTAAATATCTACTGTGTATCATTTTCAGAAAATATTTCTCAAAAGTTGTAATGAAGTTGAGGTAAACCCACTGTCTGTAACTGGCAGTAGGTTAACCGGTTTATGCTATGGGTATAACCAGAGGTAGGGGAAAGCAGAGCTTGGGAGGACGGGCTCTGTCTTCCACGTGGATGGTGTCCGTCCAGTGCCAGCCTGAGAATTCCAGCTGCTTCCCGTGCCCGCCGGGTGGCCTCGGGCACATTTCTGACACAAGGATAAGGGGGCCCTGACTCCATGGAGTGCTGTGGGAGTGAACACAGGGGCAGGTGGGGGCACGGTGGCATCTGCAGCTGTAGTTTCCAGAGTGCAGCGGATGAGGCAGCAAGATGTGGGCACAAGCGCAGGTGGCTGGGAACCACTGACCACTGGTCTTTGCCGAAATAGCTTCAGAGACACTTGGGCTTGGGATTGGCTGCACTGTCACATTTACCCAGAGCTGCTTAAAAGGTTTGGGGGCTGGGGAATGATTGATTATTAAAATATTCAGAGATCTGGAGTAACATATATGCTATAAAATAAAAATGGTTTTGACTGAAAAATATTCAAAATGGCAAATTAAACATGGGATGTGGTTGCTGTAAAGTTATTTTGAAAATGGGAAACAAGGAATGTGGGAGACCTGAGTATGGTTAGTGCGGGTTCTGGAAAGGGCTGCTTCTGTATCCTGACTGACTCTCACGCCTCGTTAAGGCTTCCAGTATAGAAAACAAGCAGGACTGGATAAAGCACATCCGTGAAGTAATACAGGAAAGGACTATTCACCTGAAGGGAGCTCTGAAGGAGCCCATTCACATCCCCAAGACGGCGCCGGCCACGAGGCAGAAGGGAAGGAGGTAAGTGCTGGGGATTTGGGAGGAGGTTTGTTTATTTAGTAGGGAGGGAACAAGGCACTGTTAACTTACTGTTTTTCAAAGATCATTTTTCTTAAATATTTTGAGGACTATTTTTTTAATACAGTTTATAAATAACATCATTCTTAGCAGTGAAATTGCTTTGTCAAGACGGGAACCTCCTTCGGCTTAAAGTAAATGAAGTATGCACATCCCTTTCTGTTGCCCTTTCTCATTGCAAGTGTGAGTCTGGACGCATATATAGGTCGTGCGTGGGACCGGGACAAGCTGTATCATATCTTAGACGTTCATGTTTCTCGTTTCTGAGCTGGAAATTACCACAACTGTGTCTTCCCACTGTGCGCATACACGGAGGACATACGTTGGACACGCCGCCCAGCGCGCAACAGGCAGCCACCGCGTAGCCAAGAGTGGCCTCCTGTCCCCGCTCACGCCATGCTGGTTGGGCAGCGTCACGCAGACGGATTTGCGCCTCTTTGAACAAATCGGCCTCCAGCGGCCGACAGGGGCTCTCCACTCGTCTTGAGAAATCCGGCAGGGTCAGGAATGAACAGTTTGTTTGCTTCTTCAGGGATGGAGAGGACCTGGATAGCCAGGGCGATGGGAGCAGCCAGCCGGACACAATTTCCATCGCCTCACGGACGTCTCAGAACACACTGGACAGTGATAAGGTGAGCTGTAACCAGCACTTTCTTGTCTTGGATCCAATAAGAAGCAGCCTGTTTCTATCTATAAATGACAGTTTGTCACCAACATTTCCAAACAGTCGCTATGTGCTGAGTGGTGCCAGAAGCAGAGCAAGGACAAAAAGGTGGGGGTGTCAGGGGTAAAGTCTGAGGATTCAGGAAAAATTGCCTGCCCTTCCCAGTGTCATTACAGGGTTTTCTCTCAGGGTGTTCTAGGGCAGGTGTTTAAGCTTTGTAATTTTACATGAAGCAGAAGAACCAGTCATTTTAGGTTAAATGCTTCACGGAGCCCCGATGAGAAAAGTGGAGCTGCTGTGATTCGGCAGGGGCGCCGGCATCCTCAGGTGGGCCCTGCGGCTCCGCCTCAGAACACAGGTGCGGCAGGACGCAGGAAACGCTATCAGAAAACAGCCGAGGGGTAGAGTATCTCATGATCTGTCCTGATGGAATCCCAAAACCAACAAAAGAAATCGACGGGAGAATTTGGAATCCAGGCTAAGGTGAGGCACAGATCACCAGAGTCATCTGTAAAAGCCAGTGGGGGGACGTTCACGTCAGCTAAATAAGTCTTCCGTTCCCGCTGAGGTGAGCACGTGTCCTGTTTCTAAACTGCTAGACCAAATTCTCCAAAAAGGTTATTTGATAGTAAATAGGGGTTTTACTTAATGTGCCAGCAGTTCAGAATTCCTGCGTTTCCCACTGTGTGATGCAAGCTGTACTTCCTTATGTGAGACATTCGTCCCGATGGGGGGACGTGGGAGTCTGTTCTTTGCCCGGTGTTTGCACAGCCCCTCGTTTGTAGCCGGGAAGTGTCCTGACTTCACCGTCCTTTGGAAGCGACTGCTGACCTAGGAGAGGGTCCAGTATCAGGGACTGTTTCCGATGGCAAGTCCCAGTGGCCCAGATGGGGGGCTTTTTCTCACGCGATTTTGCAGAGGATTCATGGCGTGTAATGCAGTTTCCAAGAGAGAAGTAAGTGCGTTTAAAAGTATTGCTCCCCTACAACGATTTCTTTTTCAAAATCCTCCGGGTTTGAGTCATTTGTTTTTTTCTATTCAATTTTTTGAGTTCACTAAATTGTGAGTCCTAGAACTTAGAATGGTCGGAGTAATAGGATGGAGAAGAAAAACAGTGTCTCATTTTATTTTGTTCAGAGCCCAGTGGCAAATATGTCTTGCCAGTGGTAGTAATGAGGAAGAAGAGAGATGAGACGTCAGGCGTCTGGTGTGCTATAGCAGTGTCTGCTGCAGCCCCGCCCCATAGCCATTTAGTTGAGAAAAAGTTTGAACTTGGAAACATTTCGTTAGAGTAATTCTGACTATTTTCTTTAAAAAAAATCAAGGTGCCTGAGTTCTCTAAGCAGTCCGTTTACGCAAGACTCCCACCTGAAGGAAATAACAGTAGCTCAGGTTGAGGGGAGCGGCCACCTTCCTTTACCCCTCATAGACTCGCCGGTGAGCATCCCCACTCTGACCATCGATCGGCCCATCAGGCTAACAAGTGCACGTTCTTCTGGATACGCTCTTCATGGATCTGGTCTGGGCTTACTCTAGAAATGAGTTTTAAAGTTTACTTTCTAGAAATAAGGTATTCGAATGAAATTGCCAAACAGATAAATACATGTAAAAGGTTTTGCCTTTTGAAACGTATGTTTTGCCTTTTGAAACGTATGTTAAGACTTTCCTGGAGGTTGGTCCAAAAAGAAAGGGTGACTGTTTTTTCAGGTGGTATATGTGTAAATGGGTGGGTGTCAGTGGTGGTTTGGAAATGCCCCCTGTGTCTGGTAAGGGGCTCTGACTCCTGTTCCCACTCAGATGGAGTTGGTCCGCTGCGTGCTGTGCTTTCTGGCCTGTGGAATATTTCTGCACTCGTACTCTGTCCGAGCCCTCATCCCCTGAGGTGTGGCTGACTGCAGTTCACAGAAATAAGGCTCTATCCTGGAGTTAGGAAGAGTGTAACTAGTTGTGCTTCGGATCTGTTGTAGTATGATAGGCTTATGTGAACTTGGACGCAGGCCTGCACGAGTCCTATAGAAAAATGAGGCATTATCCTAAAGCTAGTATGATAGCAAATTCTGTTTGTCCCCAGTGAGAGAGGAGGAATGAATCACTACCAGAAAAGTATAGGTTTGCAGGAATTAACCATCTTACCCTGGGAGTCTACCAGGGTGTTAGGCTTTTTAAAGAACTATCTATTGAATCTTCTACCTGTGGAGGTAATTCACCATTTTCTGCTTCCCTCATCTAGTGCATGATCTCTAAACTTCGGTGTGTAGCTCAGAACTCCCTGAGGACCACTTCTGCAGATACAGCCCCTCCACCCGCGCTGTACAGAGGCTCTCTCGCCGGCAGCTCCCAGCCTGACATTCCCATGATTCCTAGCCATCTGGAAGTAATGACACTCCAGAACTCGTTTTTTAAGTGGACCTGGCATGTATTTCCTTAAAGATCCCTTACTGAGATCATAGGTGCTTGATAAGCTCAAAAGTACCAAAAAGGGATGAACTGTCTTCCTAAGACCGTAGAACTGCAGCTAGTTACCTTCTTCAGTTCTTGGGGTCTGTATTTAGGATGAGAATAAATAGCATGTGGTATTTCATGATGATAACTCAAAATCTGGAGTTTGGAGAGGACATTCCCATTTGGCCTTATGTGAGAGAAAGGATGTGTTTGCTACCACATGAATGCCAGTATGTCTATGTTCTCTGCTTCCAGAGGGTTCTCCTGTTGCTTTCTCCCCGTTTTATACTTCTAGTAGATATTTCAGGGTTGTAGACGAGTCAGGAAAATACATTTTGATAATTAGGCAACTGCATCCTTTTTCGAGTTAGCTTGTAAAACGCACTGTTTGACTGAACTAGGCTTAGCCAGAAAACCCCCTTCTCTCTGATGGCAGTAACTTTTCTTGTCTCAGGGTTCTTTCCACCCCGCATATTTCAGGTTTAAGCAGCCTCTGATGACACAGGCAGATAGATCTGGCGAGGGAAATTACTTAACCATATTCTGCCTGTTGGACTTAATATATGGTGCCTGGTTATGAGTTAGTTGTTATCAAGGACTTTGGTTTCATTTCAGAAACTGGGTGGGGGGATGTTTTTGACTCGGCCTCTTGGAGAATTCGTAAGGAAAAGTTATCTGCCCAGTGCTGTAGTAATTCTCGATGAGGCACATAGGATGTTTCTGGAAGAGTCTGTTGAGGAGGGGCTCCTGGAGACGCCCTCTTTCCAGGGAGCACTGTTTGCAGAGCTGAGTAGGCATGTCACAGATACAAACCACATGCCTCATGAGCACATTTCTTTCTTTGAAAACATCAGGTTTAAAATATGCCATCTCCTTGTTCCAAAAGTAAGTTTAGCAGCGATTCTTGCCCATATTCATGGTACTTAACGCTGATAAAATGATCTTATGAAAATATAATTTGGATTCCAAAGAAATCAAATTGTTGCCAGATTCTTATCTCATTTGTCCTGAGCTTGTCTCCCTGAGGTAGGGAGGAGAATGCTGAGCCAGCCTTCAGGACACTGAGGAGATACGGGAGGTCGGATGACCCTCACAGGGCCACCCAGCAGCGGAAAGCTAAAGCCAGGAACAAAATGTGGATTTAATTACCTGCTAGAGTCTAGACCTTATTATTTCACATTAGCGCTGGATATGGAGCTAAATATTTTAGTGTATTAAAGAAGCATTTTTAACCTTTTCCCTTCTGTTTGCCTTATTAGTCTATGGTTCATTTTACGTAACAAAAACTTATAAAGAAAATAGAAAATACAGGAATCAAATATAGGCTACTCTAGAACAAAGCATCTTGGGGTCAAGATGAATTGCCAAAGCAAGATGAGGGGGCTTGTGGGCAAGCTGACCCAAGCCTTCGGGGGCCAGTGTGAGCTTTCTTTTACATCGAAGGTAAAGCAGTTCTTATTTTTACTGAATGAGAAATTGAACTGAGACTGATACTTGGCATGAACTGCCCTAAGCTTAAAATGTGAATATATGAATCCACATATTTAAAAGAGGAAGTGGTTTCAGTTACTCTTAATGAAGTCTATATAGCACTATATTGGGGATAGGAGATTTTATGTAGTTAAAAAGTCAACCAACTTTCTCTATGAAGTGACATTCTAACGACAGGAACTTGGATTTATGTAAATTGTAGTGTACACATTTTAAAATGGGGCCAAATTCACGTTTTGAGAGCGGAAACCTGCGTTGAGCCTACTTAGGAAATACCACCTGCTTCCTTCCAGCCCCCCTTGCGCACCTGGCACAGAGCAGCCCTGCCAGGAGCCACATGAACCCTGATTCTGAGCTCCGCAGCTTGCCTTCCGAGCTCTCCTGCTGGCCGAAAGTGCTGGAAGCAAGAGGGTGCCTTGGCTTTAGGAGGAGCTCAAGCTGTTGGCCTTGCCAGAGCTCTCAGTCTCCTAGGACCTCACGTAGGTGTGCCCCTGTGTGGGCATGACAGCGAGTGCTTTAATTCGGAAGCCTTTCTCCAGGACAGAGTTTTAGTCTCCCCAGACAGAATACCCCAGACTTGCTCAGAGTGTGACAGAGTGGTTACATCACATAGCAGATGCTTAGGAACAAGGAAGTGCTCGCCAGCCAGACCTCTGGGCTCAGCTCCTTAGCAGCCTTGGGCAGTTAGCTCACCTGTCTGTGCCTCAGTCTCCTCATCTGTAACTGGGGACAATACTTAACTACTCAGCTCATGGGGCTGTGAATATTGAAAATGTGTAATGTGCTGAGAACAGTGCCTAGCATGTACTGAGCACTTAATGAATATTAGCTATTGCTATGTCTTCATCGTTAAAAGTGCTGCCTTCTCCCTCATTCCTGGACTGTTGATATTCACTGCTAGCTGTTGCCGATCACTCTCTGTGTCGGCCTCTCTGTCCTCATATTTGCCTGCTCTTGACTGCAGTGGATTTGGAGCTGTGTTTGTTAGGAGCTAGAAGCTGCCCTAAGAATAAATTGCTCAGTGTTAGTGCCTGGACGTAAGCATTGTGGGGGCTCGACAGTAAACTACCCCATACTGAATGGGGGGGTCAATGAAGAAGAGGGGGGATTCCTGCTCAAAACATTTCCCACCCCCCCCAACACACACTCATCTTTAACCCTACGGAATTAGCTGCATTGTGGCCACAGGCACATAAAAGGACTGCATGCTCTTCACAGATGTCACCCATCTTTGTCGATCACCCACTGTGGTCCAGCCCAGGACAGGTGCTTCAGC